AAAAAAGTTTTTTTAAATAATATATATCTTAAATAATCTAAACAAATTTATATAAATATTTAATTTAGTTAAATAAATAAATATTGCTTATTAAATAAATAGATGCCAGATTGATTCAGATTAGAACTTTATACCAATTATATAATATTAATTTATTATATAACTATTTTATAAAGTAGCAAACTTAAACAAAAATATATTTTTCATAATAAATTAATGAAAACTTTATTTTAATTATTTATATTAATTAATTCAAACTATATACTATAGATTGAACAAATAAATAAAAGGTGAATAATAGGTAAATAATAAAAAAAATATCTGCTATTATTCTACCTTATATCTACTAAATAATAGTAAAATAACAGTAAAATAACAAAAGATTTGTCAATATAAGTAACATAATACATAGTAACATAATAGCAAAATAATAAAATAGTTCTATTATTTTATTTTTAGTCTTTGTAACTAAAAATAATATAATAGAACTATTTTATTATTTTGCTATTATGTTACTATTATATTACTTATATTGACAAACCTTCTATTATTTTATTGTTATTCTGCTATTATGCTGCTATTATTTGGCAAATATATGATAGAATAATGGCAAATTTTTTTTCTGTTATTTATCTATTATTTATCTTTTATTCATTTGTTCAACTTATGTACAATAGAACATATTAGTACAACAATTAAAAATAATTTATTATCAGATGAAAAAGTAGTAATTTTTTATAAAAATATTCATAATTGACAATATTTTTATAAAATATAATACTTTTTTCTTTATTGTACTTTTTACAAAATATTGTTATTTTAAAAAACCCAGAGCTTATATATTAACCTTTATTTATCATTAATAAATATTTTGTAAAATAAAAAATTACTTAATTTTTTCATTTTATAAAATATTTTTAATAATAAATAAAAGTTAATACACAGACTCTTGAGAATCTTTTTATAAAAACATTATTTTAAAAGAGTACAATAAGGAAAAAAGAATTATTGTTTTATAAAAATATTGTCAATCACTAAATATTTTTGTAATAAATTATATATTAAAACTAGAAATCAGTACCTTTTCATCTGATAATAAGTCATTTTCAATTGTTGTATCAATGTATCTTATTGTATGCAACTTGGAGTGATTGATATAGATAATTAAAGTGAAGTTTTTAATAATTTATTATGAAAAATGCACGTTGCTACTTTGTAAAATAGTTCTGTAATAAGTTAATTGGATACGTGTCCATAATGTGAAATATCAACATAATCGGTACATGTCCGTAGATTCTCCGTCTGGTCTCATAGGAGAACATTGACTGATGTAAATCAATTGCTCATTTATATACTTTAAAGTACTTTTTGGGAACACAACATTTCACCAATAAAAAATCACTACAGAAACCATCTTTCGCTTCGATAGAAGGTCTATATTTACTATGCAAAAATAATCAGTATCCCCATGAACTTTACTTAGAAGACAATATATAGCTACCATTTATTGGACCAGACCAAATTATACTGTATAATGAAGGTAACTGGAAACGTTTTCGTCTAAAACTATTTTATTACGTTAGATTTAAATAACCTTTTAGTTCTAACTGTTAATTTGTGTAGATGCAAGCTTTTTGGTAGTAAAAGATCCGGGCTTAGATTAAATTTGGTCGATTATGTAGTGTGTTTGGGTTGTCAACCGTAAATTAATAGTTAAGGTTTTGGGTTATATTTTATCGATTCTTTAGGGTTTATTAACAATAAATTTCACTTTACCAACTTTACACGCATCTATCTATTCTCTAAATATGAACAATAAACTTTTTTTGCGAATATTTATTGTCTGTAAGCTTCTTTATACGAAGTTTTTTTTTCGGTTTAGTACTGGTTAATTATCACGGGAAATCACGGGTAGATCTACAAAAATCAACCAATCATGCGAATGTCTTCCTATGATCTCTAGCCCAAAGGTATCCCAGAGACCCTGTGCCTTCTACTCATCTAATAGAATCAATAATATGTCTAGTCTCATTGATTTTTATATAATGATAGATTTTGGATCAAAAAATTATATCTCAGTTTTTTATATTAAAAGATTAGTAAAACACTTTTGAATATTTAACGCTTAATAATGATTTCTTTTTTTTTAATCTTAACATATTTCCTCATTCAGCATTCTTAACAAAGTTATGTTTTCAGATTTTACATATTATAGTAAAATTTTCAATTTTTTTAAATTGTATATTATACAAATTGGTAAGACTAGATGTAAATTACAAAAATTTTAACATAACTTTGTAAAAGAAATATTAAGACTTCTTTTTACTAAGTTTGGTGTCAATTCATCACGCGACTAAGGCTAAATAACTACTTAAATCTTTTAAAAATGTATTTGTGATCTCGCTTAGAAATACTTTACTGATACTGTTATAGAGATAGGCATATCACTGCATGGCGCCCAATCGTCACATATTATAATCTATGTAATAAAAAATTATAATGATAGAAAAATTAGTAATATTGAAAATTTATATGGGATTAGACATATGAGAGTTTTGCCTTGAAAATCAAGAAATCAAGTTATGAGACATATAATTTGCTATGTCTAATAACTTGATTTTCAAGGAAAGATCCCATATGTTTGATTTTTTTTATTAGACGATCGGCCACCCCAGTGTTTCGACGAACGATCAGGCTTTACGCTTGAAAATTCTCGTGTATAAATATGAGTGCACTTGTAAGCAGTAATAAGTGTTAATAAAAAATTAATCAAACTTCTTATTTAGTAATTTTAAATGAGTACTAAAATTATATATTTTTAAAGTACTTAAACTTTTAAATATGTATATATCAAATATAAAATTTTATACTTATTAAAATGCTCAAGGGATAGTCCACAGTTTAAGGGACCAATTTCATAGTACTGTAAAAATCGACGCAATATTACTATTTGATTTAATGATTTTACTATCGTTAGAATCAGAAAAGTTAGTTCTACAGCTTTTATTTGAAGTTAAAAAAGGCTTGCTTAATAAACACCATTTCTGTACTGTACAAAAAGTACTTTAAACCCGATTCTGTACTGTACAAAAAGTACTTTAAACCCGATTCTGTTTATTATAAAATTTGCCCTTTTTTATATCCGTCAGAGACGAACTACACTTTAATTATTTTATAAATACTTTAAACAATAATATTATAATGATTCAACATATTTTATATTTATTAAGTATTTTTAATAAGTACTTGTAGGTGCTTGAACAAAATTGCAATCGGAATGCTCTTAAACGTTTCACATGTATGCAGTTATGTTCAATTAAGTTATAATCTAAATAATGAAAAAATAATGAGAAGGAATTTCACAATCTAAACACTCATAAACTGGCCTCTTTTAGTTCTCATTAGCTAGCCTTCACAAACTGATCATTTACCGAAATTTCTAATTAATTCTCGTTCTTTAAGATTTTTATTAAAGATTTTTGATAACCAATAAAATAAGGACAAATCTAATTGTAACAACCTGTTACGCACTTATTTGTAACAGCTCAATTAGTACAACCAATAAAAATAAACTAAAAATTCGCCCTAACTCTAATTATTATTGGCTAATCTGAGGTTGTTACATGTGACAGATTGTTACGATAAAATAGAATATCGAAGTATAAGCTGAAAATTCGACCTATTTTTTTTATTTTATCGATGTAATGGATGACAATTTTAAACGTATTACATAATAATTATATACTTAAAACTTTTGAGATATGAATTTGTTTTAATACCAACTATTATAGAAATTTAGCAGTCACACAAGATGCCATATATGAATTTTCACATTATAATCAAATGGTCAACGCATTTAAAATTATATATACATTTTAAATGAATTTTTTTAATTGCTGTTACTAGATATAACAAAAGTAGCCGTTAAAAATAATCAAAGTATAAAATATATGTACGTATCTATGAATGTATCGATCTTCGATCAATGTGCGAAGTAATTGATATTCGCAGAATTCACGAGTAAAATTTTCGTTAGCCATTCAATCATTTCGAAAATAGCATTTATGCAGATTCTTTTTGGTAGTTACAATAGAAAAGTCAATGATCTTGGTGATCTCTTTTGCCGCCAAAATTTATAAGCAATATGGAATCAATAGGGTCAAATTTGGAAATTCATTTTACCTGGACCCTGACCTCCAAATTTAGTTTTGTTTTTTTTTGTTTTCTTTAAAAAAATATATATATATATATAAACCGAGTATAATAATTGTAGATCTATGTAATGCAATATTTAAAGAAAAAAAAACTACATGTGATTAAAGTTAGGTTAAGTTAGGATTTTATACTAAATCTTGCCAAAAAATTTTTTTATTAGAACCTTAAAATGGGTTATATGTAAAATTTTATTTATCTTATATATTATATAATACAGCATATATGAATTGGCTTAAATTATTAGTAATAAGAGATTTCCTAAATATATTATATAGTTAATTTAAAGAAAAATGTTTTTACTACTGATAATTTTTAAACCAAATATTGCAGCATTAAAAATTTTTTTTTAGTTTCAACCATTTTAAGAACGGCAATATAAACATATATAATAATAATAATGTTCGTATAAATTTTTATTAGGAAATATTCTTGTACAATTAATAAATAAAAAAAACATATGCATGTATATACGTACAAAATTGGGCGATAGTTCCAATACAAACGATCAAACATTAATCAACTATGTCACTACAATCACTATAATACATGCTAATCCGTAAGTATGACATTAGAAGTTTAAAAAAAATAAAATAAAATATTAGCTATTTGTATTACTTATAATCACTGTTGGATATTAAAAAAAAAATTTAGTACGTACAATATTTAAACAAAAGTTCACATTTGAAAATCTAGATTAGAAATTTTGTCTATTGAAGCTGAACTTAGAAAAGTAATGAGAAAAAAATCAATAAATCATTCAAAAAATGTAGTTTAAATACTAAAATTTAATAATACATGCCAATAATATTTATTAATTGGCTTGTATATCTGACATCTGTGTAAGTATTTGACAAGAATTCTGAATCTGTCATTATAATATCGAAATCTTTATCAGCAGCTTTAAAAATTTCCTTGAATTCTTCATATTTTGTCCAAGTTTCTAAACTTTTTAGAAGTTCTTTGGCTGAAGGACGTTCATTTGCATTTGCATTCATACATAGAATTGCCAAATTAATGTAAACCTCCGGTGTTCCTAATTCAAAATTTGGACGACGATTGTTTACACATATATCTATTGCAAGTCTAGTTTGGTCTTTTTTAATTATAATAAGGTGGGTTCCTATTGAAATTCAGTCATAATGACGCCAAAACTATATATATCAGCCTTTTGAGTATATTTCTTTTTGTTTAATACTTCGGGGCCATATATGGTGTCTTACCATAAATTTTATCATGTGATGTTTCTGAGTTAACTATCATTTATGGATTTTACATAATAAATTAGGTGTTATCCGTTGCTTCGCTTCCGGTTTAAATCTACACATGTAATTTTTTCAGTATATACTGGACGTTATATAAATAAGATGAAAGCTAAATGTAACATATGGGTGGTTAGTGGTTAACAATGAAGTAAGTCTACCGGGTGTTTGATAAGCCCCTAGACAGGACCTTTCGTTAATCACTTTGATTATCAAAAGTATTAAATTTTATTAGTAAAAGTAGAGCTCCTATCTATTATCCGTTTATTCATTTATCTATTGGATATCCATTTTACTATTGATATTCGGATAATTATTCGAATATTTGTCGGATTATCCGGATAAATTCAGATATGGATAAATGTATGACGGATTTATCCGGATTGGAACTTTAAGTAAAAGGATCTATCTAAAACTCTTTATTAAAAAAATACATAATTAGGTGATTAACAAAAAGGTTCTGTTTAGAGACTTATCAAACACCCGGTATAATTGATAAAGGACGCCCTAATTAACCTGTACATCACATACTATAGTACCCTGAGTACTAATTACGGAAGGTGGTTACTATACTGGGTGTTTCAAAAGTTTCACTACAAAGTCTACATAAAAAAATAGTTACCGTGTAATGAAACTTTTAAAACCAAATTTATTATTGGCGTCTAATATTGAACCTCCCCCAAAAAATTATTGGCACTTCGATCTATAATAAAAATGCGTCTACTTCATTTTCCTATTATCCATTTTAAATTTCAGTAAAGATAACTAGTGTTTGTAGTGTTCCGTAGACCCGAACCAGAGACCCGGAACCGACCTGAACCCAGCCACAGTTCGGGTCTATAGGGTAACTTTCTCGTTATTAGTCAATCACATGAAATTGAATGGTGATTTATAATTGGCAAACATTCAAACATGTGAAAAATTGCATTTATTATTAGTAAAGCTTTCTAACGATTTTTTTCTTTATTCAAATGTTAAAATTTTTTATATTAATATAACAAATTGTCACTATTCTGAAACGTCGCAGTTCTTGTCTTTAAAAAATTTATTTTACTATTTTTAATAACCTTCTAGTATAATATTAATAATATCTCCGTTTCAATCTCTGTTTCTTTGATCTCATAGATTTTACTTTTAGACAACGTATTACAACTATTAGCGTCACTTATTTGTACTCATATATATTGATAATTTAATTAATAAAATTTTAATTTCAATAACTTCGTTGAATAATAAAAAGTACAGCAGTAAAGAAGCACAGAACCACGTGATTTCACAATAAATAATGTGTTTATTACCTCATTACTATTTTTCTAAGTTAAAAAGTTGACTCTAATTAAAGTATATTTAGTTAAAGTAAATCTTAGAGATACTCAAGATACTTAAAGTTTCATTCATGAAGTGTCTTCTATATTATTATGAATGATGGTTACATTTGTTTAAAAAAATTATTATGTTAGTACTCTAAACCATATAAATTCAACTGTATAAAATTAACTATTTAAAAGAAAGTTATCCTATAGGTTCGGGTTCTGGTCTATGATTTTTCTGATCCAACCAGTTTCAATTCAAAATAAGTTGATTGAATTCAGCCTGGATTTTTGGATCAGATTTATTTTTTTCAGTTCAGGTCAGATTTTAAAAAACCTGACCTGAACCATTTTGAAAAATACTAATCAATTGTTTTAATTAATATTATTGACTTAGTCAACTTTATATAAATTATATAGTAATCAATTTGGTGGTTTATTTTTTAAAAAGTTCTAAAAAAAAAATTAATTAATAGAAAATATAAGCAAAATTAAGACAAAAAATAAGAAAAATTTATAATAACTTTTGAAGATTAATTAATAATAATTAACGTAGTATAACAGGTTTTAATTTTATTGGCCAATTACTAAATATATCATTACTTCTTACATTATATATATTATTTAATTTTAAATAAATTAGAAATAATAAAAACAAATTAGTAAAAGATTTAATATATAAATTTTAAAATTAAATCTTTTATTCTACTTATAGTAAAAATAATTTAAAAAATAAAAAAATAATTTAGAAATTAACAACAAAAATGCATTTTTATCTTATAGATAAGATAATTTAGTAATTAGCAAAACAATTCATATTTTAGTTAATAAATATTAAGTTTTTTTAAAAAAATTATTTAAAATAGTAATTTAAAAATAATACTTATAATTAGTATTTTGATATTTTTTTAAAAAAATAAGTTATTTTACTAAGTTTTTAAAAGCTTTTTTTAAAAAAAATTTGACAGTAATTACTAATTTTTATTTAATTCTAGTAAGTAAAAAAGGTTTTTATATATATTTTTGTAAGTTATTTTTATTATCTAAGCTAGGCTATATAAACCTAATACAGATTGTTAACCTTTTGCAACTATCTCTAATAGCATCTATATCATTTTGCTGCATATCTTGCATACTATAGTCAAGGCTAACACTTGCAATCAGAGTTGTTAACATTTTAGATATTATTGCTATTAAACTGCTTTGTTTAGTAAGAAGGTTCAGACTTTACAGTTTGCATTAACTCTTATATATATTAATTTTATTATTTTTAACTAATATCTGTTTTTTGTATATCTTATTTTTTTTTTTAATGTTAAGCTGACCTCTTGGATCTTTTAACTTTATTTAATAATAGTAAATATGGTTTAATAAACTATTACAAAAAGAGCATATAATTGGCTATATATGTAAATTTTCTATATTACTTATTTAAAAAGTCTGACTGAAGATTTTTTACTAATTGCTATATTTAATATTTCTGCTTAAATATTTCATTTTAAATTTTTTGAACCTGCAAACCTGTTAACTTTACTGAGTCATACCTGATGCTTAGATCATTGTCTCAATCTTAAAACTATTTTATTCTTAAAATAAATTTCTTAGAGTTTTTTGTACTTATTTTTATAGCTGATCTAGATATTGTTATAGCAGAACCAATACTTGTAATTAGGGCTTAACTATTAAACTGCTATGCTTTTGTAGAGTTTACTTAGATCTCAGCATCTACTTCATAGTATAGTCTTGATACTTTAGTATATCTCTATCTTTTCACTTGCCTTTTTACTAAACTCCTAATTCAGATAGCTTATATAAAACTATAATCAGTCCATTGATATATTAAATTAGCCTAATATCCTTTTTCTTTAGTTTGTTCTGATGGTCTGATTGGTAGTACCTTTAAGACTCTCAACCCAGAGATCCTTGCCTGTCTGGCTACTACAACCAAGTATTATAACCTTGGTATCTGTTTCTTTAGACTAGTTTTTACAGTAAAGTTATCAAAAATTTAACTATTTTTTTATTTAGGTCTTTCTAAATAAACTTCTTATTACCTAATTTTAATAGATTTATATAACCACAAGAACTTATCTAATGTTTGTACCACCTAATTTTGTTAGTTTATATTTCTCTATATAACTTCAACATTATACAGATGCTTTATAACTTGTCAGTTATACTGGTGTGATTGCTATTACAAGTATCTTAATTTAATTGTTAATAATAGTTATCATAATACAAATATTACATATATGATTATCTAAATTTTCACTGTCAATAAGATTTGAATATCCAACCTACTATATGAAGGGTTAACAACCTAACAACTTCACTAGATTGTCATACTCTTTTGTATATCTTATTACATTATTTGCAATAACTTTTAAATTAGTATTTTTAAGTTAATAATTTTTATAATTTTTTTTCTTTAGTTTGTTTATTATTTATTTCTTTAAAATATTTTAATAATGATCTATAAACACATATTTCAATTTAGAGTTTTGATATTATTACTAACTTTTTAATTTAAATACTGATAGTACATATCTTAAGTTAGATTTCTGCTATCACTATTTTGTAAATGCTTCAGATCTTAATGTTATTACAAATGCAAAGTAACACCTTTTATCTTTTTTAGTACTACATGCTATAATGTGGTCTAAAACTTATTTTATATATGCTTAGAACAATTTTGATTATATTTAAAAAGTTATAGTAATCTTAGTAATATCTTATTATTATACAATACATATTTTATATATGTTATTTACTTAATTTAAAACAATTCTAATTATTAAATTTTTTTTTTTTATAGTTAAAGTCCCTATCTTGGGAATGCAATATTTTATTCAAGTTTTGTTAGAAAACAGATGCCTTCAGGAGCTTTCTTATATTGGAGGTTACAACTAGCCACATATGCATTTTTGGTGCCTAATTTAAGTAGTCTGTTTATATATTGCTATATAAGTTCTATACTAGTTGCTATATCTGCAAGCCAATTAGAAGTTTTGTCTATTTAAACTCTTTGCATATGCAATCCTTTTTATATCACG